TGATGCTGTGAAAAAGTTGCACATCTCCCTTTTGGCTTCTTTGTGACTTTGTAGCTATTGTAACTTTGACATTGTTAGAAGGAGCTACAGCCTGTTTTAACTTAGCTGAGCTGGGAGGAGAAGACTGAAGTATGACTGAAAGGAGCTAGACTGCTTCCAGTTCCCAAACTGGCAATTGAAGTACCACACAGCCCAGATACATCCTGAGTGCTGAACTCTGCACTGGGACAGCAGCACACTCAGCTTTGTGTCACACACAAGCCCTGTGTCCCATCGTTTTTCCCCACTGCTACTGCTCTCTGTGCCACCTTGGTTTTGCTGGAGAATGGCTGGACATTTGGGGCAGAGAAAGCATTTTGGGAAGAAGGAAAGAGCATAGATCCTAAGGCAGTAGAATGTAGAAGTAAGCAGGCACTGCTATCTGAGGAAAACCTGATCTTGCATGTATGGGACATACTTGGGACACAATCAGTGTGGCTGCCTCATCTCTGAGGAGTGTTTCCTAACTAGCAAACCCCTCTCAGGACATAGTCCAGGTGTAGCTGCTGGCTGTGCAGTGAAAACACCTACAGGATTCTCCTTGGAAAATGATTTTGTGGCATTACCCATCCATCTCTCTGCAGTTGCTGTGGTTTTAGTGCACCACTGCTCCAAACAAAGCCTGAAGGCCACAGTCCCTGACAGTCCTGAACTAGCAGTGGCTCCTTTCCTTTTCAGAAAGCCTCAGATCTGGCAGATATGATCACCCGGGTCATCCGCGAGGGGCTGGAAGGACTGGTGTTGAAAGACACAAAGGCAGGTTGACATCTCCTCTTCTCTGGGGTGTGCTGGGCCCTGGGGGACACCAGCAGACGGGGGGGCTGGGGATGGGGCATGAGGCTGAGAGTCCTTCAGACATCCCTGGGCCCTTGGCAGTGCCAACCCCCAGGTTGCTGCCTGCAGATCCGAGCTGCCAGGCCCGTGTGCTGGTGGGGCAGAGAAGCAGGGGCTGCCTGAGGAGGTGGCTCTCCACCACAGGACACTTCTGACCAGCCAGGGCTCTTGCCTTGCTCTGCACAGGGTAACTATGAACCAGGGAAACGCCACTGGCTGAAGGTGAAGAAGGACTACCTGAATGAGGGGGCTATGGCTGACACAGCAGACCTGGTGGTGCTGGGGGCTTTCTATGGGCAAGGCAGTAAAGGTGAGTCTCTGGAGCTGGCTTAAGTCAGAGATCTCTCAGTTCAGAGAACTCTTCCAAGCTTTTTCCCACTCCAAGCCTCCTGTAGTATTTGGTCTCCTCCCAGAATGATAGTGGCTGTAGCATTGACTGCTGCGCCCCCCATGTGCCAGGCTGGGAGGTTACTGTGGGTTGGCACAGCAAAGCCAGAAGATACAAGACACCCTGCTCTCCCCTCCTGCAGGTGGGATGATGTCCATCTTCCTCATGGGCTGCTATGATCCCAAGAGTGAGAAGTGGTGCACTGTGACCAAGTGTTCTGGTGGCCACGATGATGCCACCTTGGCACGTCTGCAAACGGAGCTGGATATGGTGAAGATCAGCAAGGTGAGAGGGGCTCTGGCATGGAGGTGATCCATGGAATGCTCAGCAAAGGGCTTGGTAAAGCCTTCTGCTGAGCTACAGTTCAGGTGCTGGTGAAATGCAGAATCAGAGTGCTCTGCTGGGAATGAGGAGAGGCTCAATGAGAGTTAAAGCAGAGACACTGCTCTGGCACAAACGAGGGGTAGGTGCAGCCAACTCCTGAGATGAGGTATTGCCTGAGATACGTGCTCAGACACTGAGTGAGAAGCCTGGCACCATCTCTTTCCCCCTAAGACAAAGCTTTACTGGGAAGAGCAGAGCAGATGCTGGTTTTTTGGCATATTGTGGTTGGTGAAGACAGTCACTAGATGGGGCTGCAGGAGAGAAATGCTCGAGTCACACTGTTGTGGCTGGATAACCTGAATGTTGGAGTTAGAGGTTTTGTGAGTGACTTACTGAGGTGAAGGGTCTTATTTTTCAAGACTTGACTAATAAACAGCTGAACTATGGTGTTTACTTGATATCCTGAAGGCCATTTGCATCAAGGTTATAGAATCTTTAAAAATGGGTAGTTCTGTATGAATCACAGTTGGAGCAACGTTTCTGTTTTACACATAGACTGACAATGATTGAGAGCAGTGTTACAGAATTCCTGTGATTCTCTAGATGCAGAAACATCACACAGGCTGAAGCAAGGTCCATCCATGCAAAGGCAACATAGTACCTCTGTGTTTATCTACTTCTAGGTTAACTTTCTGCAACTTGTTTGGCAGAGATAGGTTCATATATGATCATAATAAGTGCTGTTATTTTGCTTTTCTACTTTTAATTAATAGGATCCTACTAAAATTCCAAGGTGGCTAAAAATCAACAAAATCTACTACCCAGACTTCATTGTTCCAGACCCAAAGGTAAGTGCTGCCCTAGTCAAGTAACTAAATTTTCCAGCCCTAATACACCAGTTTACCAGACTGCATTTACGTGTACAAATTGTCTCTTTCAAGATTAATCTTCATACTTGGCACAGGAAATTAAGTGCAAACTTTTATCTCTGCATCTTGCAGGTGCATTTAAGGCTTAAGTGCTTCATGAAGAAATCATACCTGCAGCACTTCTGGGAAATATTCTTGTGCATTAAATCCCTTCCAGAAGTGAACTTACTTTGAAGTTGAGGCGTGAAAAACGTGACTTAGAGCAGCTGAAGCACAACTGTAACCCAGAAGTAGTTGTTGTTCAGAATTTGTCAGTGTGCTTTGTACGTCTGATAGGAAAGGTGTTACTTAGAAATTGGCTGCATAGATTAGCTGAGGATCCCTGACTCATTGGTAAAAAATAGATGATTTTGTAATGAAGGTGACCAAGGTCAGTTTGTGTGTGTGGACCTGAGTGTGCTGGGGCAGGGAGGGGAGGTTTTTGGGGAGGCAGAGGAGCACAGACACATGAGTGAGTTCATGAGAGAACAGGGGAACGTGACGTGACTCTGCTGTGTTCAGAAAGCCCCCGTGTGGGAGATCACAGGAGCTGAGTTCTCCAGAGCTGAGGCCCACACTGCAGACGGGATCTCCATCCGCTTCCCTCGCTGCACCCGCATCCGGGACGACAAGGACTGGCAGACAGCCACCAACCTGCAGCAGCTGAAGGTGAGCTGGCACAGCACCCCGGGAGCAGCCTCTGCTTGAAAGGACCCCTCCAGACAGCAGGGTGTGCAGTGCAGGTGGCTGGGGATGGTACCTGGGACAGCAGGTCACGTTGGCCATCCGTTCCAGGCTCAGGCTGCTCGCTGGGTTATTCTGATGTGAGTCTTATTCATGCATGGGGCCTCTCGAGTCTCTCTGTGTTGTGCACTTTTGGGAAAGTCTGGGCTGGCAGCTTGTTGTCTCAGCTCTTTTAACAGCCTTCATGGTGAGGAATTTCCTTCCCAAAAGAGGTGACACCTTTATTCTCTTAAAGTGTTCGTGGTCGTTTGGTCTCCCATTAATTGCTGAGCTGGGGGGAGGTGTCTGGGAAGTGACTAAGGGCAGCCTGGCCTGGTTGCAGGGCACAGTGGCCAAGTGGCTGCTAGCCAGGACCCCTGGGGCTGCCCCCACCCCCCACAGCTCCTGTGCCTGATGGGAACTGATGGGCTCACTGCCATCCCAGCAGTCAGGCAGCTGCTGAGCTCTGCTCTCAGTGAGTCACTCTGGTTTGGGCTGTCTCCACACTGCCCATAGGGGTGCTGGCAGCAGATCCAAGTGCTTGTTACAGCCTGCCTGCTGTCCCCCAGGCTCCCTGTGCAGGTAGGGGAGAAGGTAAAATATCCTCCTCAGACAGGAGCTTGAATGAAGTTGACAGGAAAATGGCTGCAAAGAGGTGCAGGAAGAAAAACCACATGAGGAAACACTTCATGGGGGGAACCAAACAAGGGGAGACCACATGTTACAGCTCGTGTCTGATGTGAGGGGTCTCACTGTGGTTAAGGGCAGTGCTTTGTTTCTGCTGGCACAGGAGCTGTACCAACTCTCCAAAGAGAAGGCTGATTTCAGTGTTGCTGCTGGGGAAGAAGAAGAGTCCACGGCTGGCAGCAGTGGAGAGAACGAGGGGAGTTCCAGGTCTTCCACACCACACAGCACCATTAAAAGTCCCCCAAGCAAGTCACCTGCAAAAGCCCAGAAGCCAGAAGGTGAGATGGTGCTTTCCAGGGAGAGGAGCTTCAGGGCATGTGCTCTGCCTTGGGGGGTGCTTGGCTTTGGATCTTCTGTCAAGTGCTTGAAGATCCCGTGGCAGCTTTCATGTGCATGTCAGGGCTAATGGGCAAAGCTCTTCAGGCCTTGGTTTGGCCTGTGTTGTCCATAGCATGGATGAACAGCCAAGGCTCTGGGGGTGTGCTGGGCTTGAGAGGATGGAAACAACACTGATGATGTTGTTCAGTGGTGTTTGGGCAACTCATTTAGACAGTAAAAGCTCTCTGAGATTACATGCTGCTCAGAACATATCTCAAACCCAGCAGAGTTGTAGTTCATCCCAAAACTACTTTGGAGTGATTTCACTGGGACTGCAGTCCCTTTTAATTGTGTTAGATCAAGGTCTGTAGAAGGCTGATCTGAACAGCAGAGCTGCTGCTCCCATTCCTGCAGATCACATGCATTTTTTTGGCTGTGAACCAGGATTTAATTTTATTTGGATGAAATTCATGCATATAATTGGGCACCAGGATGGAGGGGGGTTTCCAGGCAGTAAACTGCAGAGCTGTGAAATGAGTTTGCTTCACCAGGGCTTTGTCACTGGGGAGCAACTTGAAGCAAATGTATGAGCAGTCTCAAAAAGACTGTGTGGTGACAGCAGGGAGGGAAACTGCACAGCAGCGTGCTGGAGGAGAGGACAGGAGGATGCCCCACAGCATTTTCCTACCTTCTAATGCATGGGTTTTCCAGAAAGTGGGGAACAGCCTTTTCCCTTTTACCCTCTTCATTATCCTCCCTCCACTTCAATACACAATCTGGACAGAGCACACAAATGAGAGAAGTTTTTGTTTCCAGAAAAGAAAGCAGTCACTGGATCCCCTCAAAAAGCAGAGGAGAAACGAGGGGAGAAACGGAAAGCGTCTGAGATGGAGGACACTGACAGAAAGGTACTGACAGAAAGGGACAGCAGCTGCCCTGGGCTGGGAGGGACCTGAGGCAGAGCCAGTTGTCTGGTCACTTCTGCCTTCCACCTGGAAAAGTGAAATCTTCCCCTAGCAGCACCCTAAATTAAAATGAAGTGTAAAGGCAGCAGCAGGCCCTGTTGTGAAGGACACAGGTGCAGGTGGGTGCAGTCCCCTTCTGCCTGCAGAGCTGGCACAACTGGGTTTGTCAGGCAAAAGGCCCATAAATACTCTGATCACCCACCAACAGCATCCTGCTCTACAAACCACTGTGACCACTTCACTGAGCCACTTCTGGGGGAGCTGGGAGCTGTTGAGGGAGAGAACTGTCCGTTCTGGCCCATTGTGCAGCAAACTGTAAGAGCAGATTAAAACAAAGCTGCAATTTCCTGATGAGCCTGGAGGACCTATTTTGATGTAAACAAGTCCCCTCCAAGGGTGGCTGTGTTCTCCAGCTAAGGAACATGAGCCTGTAAAGACAAAGACATGAAGATGATGTTCACTGGACTGTGTCAGCATCCT